CACACACACACACACACACACACACACACACACACAGCAGTGACTTACATCAGTCTGAAGACAGTCCACGCAGGAGCGGACTCCATTATGACCTCTGTGGGGAAGGAGAAGCGACATTTATTTTATCAATCTGACAACCTCTTTTCTTCTTTGGTTTTGTTGTCCATCTTCAGGATACCAGATGCACCAGTTGCAGTTTCTTGCATTACATTAAATTTTCATAAATCACCATCTGGTTATACACGGCTGGAATGCCTAACGTAGCTTTTCATGCAGGATTAAACTGCTTTATCCAGCTTGCTCTGAGTAGCAGTGAGAAACGTACTGAGAGGGGACGCCTGTTAACTGAACACCATTCTTATTGTTAGTAAGTAAAATGACAAAACAGTTAATGAGATACAACCAGCGTCATGGCATAAAATTAATAAAAACAGACCATTTGCAACATTATGAGAGTCAGGCATAAGAGTCTGAAGAGCTCGGGGAGGCTTCATCACAACAGCGCAATCAAGAGCAAAAATAGTAGCAGGAGGAAGAAAAGAGACAAGAGACAAACCAGAATGAGTAAGGCCCAAGAGAGAAGCTGTGTGTGCTGATTAGAAGTTTGTTGGTTTTAAAATACAGGCCTCACTTCGCTGTTATTTCTGGTTGTGCTGCTTCTGTCTTCTCGTCTCGACATCGAGAAGACACCAAGGTTCACAGCAGGCAGAGCTCAGGCAGCTCACACATGCTCCAAGTTTGAACACTGAGGTGTTGAGAATTCAATCTTATGTGTACAACGACAATTCCCAACAGCAGTTGCTTCAAATTGCTTAATAGTGAAAGGTAAAGACCCTAAAATATTAGAGAGAACAGATAAAAGAGAAGTGGAAAAAAGGAGAGTATAGAGAGAATAAGGACAAACACAAATTGCATAGGAAAGAAGACTCGAGTTAATGACATGCAGTGGTGACGCATAAACACACAGGGAGTGAATAAAGGGGGTGGAGAGAAGTGCTGAGCGCATCATGGGAAGTCCCTGAACAACCTGAGACTATAGCAGCATCACTAATGGATGCTTTGAGGTCACCTGATCCCTCCATCTGATCCAGGTTTGATCAAAAAATAAGTTTTAAGTAAAGTTTTCAGCCTAGTTTCAAAAGTAGCGAGGCTGTCTGTCTCCTGAACCCAAACTGGAGCTGATTACACAGAAGAAGAGCCTGAAAGCTGAAGTCTCTGCCTCCTATTCTACTTTTGGAAGCTCTAAAGTAAACCTGCAGTGTGAGAGAGAAGTGCTCTACTGGGACAAGACACTGTCAGGTCTTTAAAATATAGTGGAGCCTTGTTGCTGTTGTTTTTTTCCCCATGAAGACAGAAACTTTCCAGTCTGAAAGTTTGGACGAATGAGTGCAAATGCAGTTTAAAAGCCGCACTTGCACTTCCACGCAGAAATATATTTGTTTATTGGCCTTAAAGTTAATGTTAAATGTACCTTGACGATACTTTAGTGACTGCTTTCCCTCACCACTGTCAATACATCGCTTAAGATAATGAATACTGTTGGTGATGTAAACAGATCGCAGCGAGTCCGAAGCAATCCAAGACCCAACACTATGATAGAGGATGACCCACCTGGCGCTTCCTCCATGTTTGATGGCGATTTTCCCCAGAGGTTTGTCCAGTTCATCGTGGACCAGCAGGATATCTTCAGCCTTGACGCCATATTTGGCAGCTAAACAAATCAAAACATACAAAAAAAAGTTTCTTAGTTTGGTTGCTTCTAATAATATAGCAGGATAACAAAACTTTACTAGTACAGAACCCTTAAACACTTTGAACCTGAGCTTCCTTCTGTTCATATAAATGTGCAAGTAAAATAAACACAAACATCACGTACACCTGTAAACTGTCAAAAAGTCTGAAATAATAATAATAAAAATCAAAGTTCTCACATGTAAAATAAAGAAGACGTGTCAAAGTCTTTATTCAGCCTAAAGCAAACTGAGCACACAATCAGAAGATCAACACAAGACTCCTCTCAGCAGAAGCGATGTCCAATGAAGGCCGCGCGAAGTGGTCGAGTCTTTTTGGTTTTCTTTGAGATTGAACATTTTTATTATTATTGTAGAGGCTAAGCCTACGCCTGAAGCCACTGAGGTGTTCGATGGTGGGGGTCATGCGGTGCCACTGTTAGGAATGAAACTTGACATAGTCCAATAACTCGAGCCGTACTTATCTTGTCTGTTTAACATCTTTATTGCATTCCATCGGTTGTATTTGTTGTTCAACAGTTCTCTTAGTATCCAACGTCCTTTAACATAACTCACAACAGCGCAGCGGTCACAAACTGTTCACTTCTTCTGACCAACAACACCTGATGCTAATTACACGTCTACCTTAAATACAGTCCCATAAACACAACATCCTGTGAAAACACAAAAATGTTACACATAAGGTAACAACACAAAAATGGCTCCTACAATTATGATATTATAAAAGCAGGAATGAGTAGACAGAACTCTCAGAATCCATCCAAGGCATGTACTGAGCAGCTGCTTCTCTACATAAAATATTGTACAAATCTCCAATTCATGAACTAAATTTTCTTTACATTCAATAATATAATTCACTGATTGTTTTCAATCACATAGACAGAAGTCTGATATAGTGACAGGGCTGAATAACACAGGTTGAACCTCAATGGAGTTAAATTTCCAGCTTGAATTGTTTCTGGCTGCCTGAGTGACAGATGAACCACTTCAGTATGCTTGTGCAGAGACATGCCACATTTCACAGCTGATGATAAGAAAGAAAAAAAGCCTAATTTATTTAATGAAAATCACTTACAAAGACAGAAATGACCTCACCTGCTTTGGCCACTGATACTCCATTGACATTCATCAGCAGCCGGGGACGAAGCAGCACCACATTCATTTGCTGGACTTCTGACAAAATGACCTCACCGGACACGTACTTGTCGCCACGCCAGCGGTCTGCCACACCGAGCCGGGCAGCGAGAGCACCAAGTACTGTCATACCAACGCTGTGTCTGGTACCCTCCATCCCCGGATTACCCAGCCCCACCACCTGAAGCAAACGCAGACACACAGTTAAAGGCATACACCTCTGCAGTGAAGCTACAGGAACAGAAGACTGTCTGAGTCAAAGGAAGCAGACTGTTGAATTTTTATATATATTTACACATATATTCAGACAAAGTAAAAGCAACTGAGTAAATAAGCTTTTTAAACTGGAGCTAGATGCAAACACAGAGAGATTCTAGATTTAGACTTAAAAATGACCAAAAACTCAGTAACAGCTCTGTTAACAGGAAAAACAACTATAGACAACATTGTAATGCATTGTATTGCACTGTATTGTATAAAGCTTCTATAGCTGCTTACAAACTGCAAACACTGTAGGGTTTTTATTGAGGTTTCATTCATTTTTAACAAAAGCCTATGAAGGCAAAGACAAGTTAACACAGGGGAGGACAGCTGACATCATTTTAAAATAAAACTGTTAGATATGCTGATTAAAATAAAATAGAAAAAAATACAACAATAAGGAAAGACCCAAGCTGGCTGAAATGAATGAAAGCATTTTCCTTCTAAAATTATCCCCACACTAACCAGTAATTAATTTAAGGGCAATTACGCCAAATTACAAAGGGGGGTTTGAGTAACTCAGTAAGTGTTTTGAAAATGTAGTAAGGTGATGAACAATTTGACAAACCCTACAAAATTATAAGTTCTCAGATCTTTCAATGGAGTTTGGCGAGATCTGACGACTGGATTTAGGGGCTTACAAAACCTATAGCAGTAACACATACAGCTTCCCGAGAACTTGGAGTGTAGTAGACAGTATGTAGCTGATTACGAGGTTTAACACTTACCATCTTTCGGCAGCCTTGATTGTGTATTTCTGCTTCGATTATCATCGCAGGTGAAAACGGATCGCTCAGCAGAACTCTGTTTATGACTCTCGTCAAAAGTCGTCGCATCATTAGAAAGTTAATCAACTTCTTGAAAAAGTTTAACAAATACTGGCAAAACTTACTTAAAACTGAGCCCTTTTTCATTCGGCTCATAGAACCGACTGTCTTCTCTTGACAGTTAATAAGAAATCAGGCGTTTCCACATGTATTTACAGTCATGAAGCAACAGTACCTGTTCGGGCATTCATGTCGATTGTGTCAATTCATCGATTCTGTCTGGGGTTCACTATATGAACTTTAACGTTGTCAGATATTTATTATCTGTTCGTAATTAATCATAAGAATTTCCGTAATTATTACCAGTCTTTAAAATGTGAAGTAACCTTTTCCTGCCCTCCTGTCATGCTCCTAACCGCTCAACGAGCGCTAGCAAGAAAACATGGCGGAGAGACTTTTTCTCCTCTGTGGGGACACAGCGCCATCTAGCTCGGCGACTTGATTATTACAGCAAACACAAATTTGGAAGTCTATTGACTGAAAACAGCAAACAATGAACCTTTTAACACTATTTAAATTTCAATAAATATTTAATTTAAACGAGTTTTGATTACATTTATCGAAATGTGTTTTTATGTACAAACTGAATTTTATTTTACTTTATTTTACTTCATCTTCTCTATTTAGAACTACTTTTTGTTGTTGTGTTTAATGGCTGTGGCTGTGGTGGAACACAGTAGTTTCTCAATTTCTGGCAATTTCCCTTTCACTTTAACTTTTGGAAACTTTTCATCAACGGATGAACAGCAAAATTTTTTTAGGAGTGCCACAGTGACAGATCATGGGTGGATGTACTGAAAAAGGACATGCAGAGGCCTGATGTGACAGAAGAAGATGCTAGGGATAGGGTGAGATAGAGACAGATGGTCTGCTTTGGTGACTGCTAAAGGAAGCATCTGAAAAAAGACGAAGAACAAGTTTGCAAGTTTATTGGTTAGGCAACCAAATGCGCAACAGAGGAAGTAAACTATAGCAGTTCATGTAATCCTAAAAGATTGATGCCACATGTTTAAAATTAGTGTGTAGATATCAAAATAAGCAGTAGGGCTTTGGAGCTCAATGAGTCAAAACTCTTTTAAATCCTCCAAAAATTAAAGAATACAAAACAACGATTCACCTTGAATTTTGATTGCGCTTTATTTGAAAAACAAAGCATCAGCAGACTCATCATCAGTTTTGATCTGGGGAGCAGGGGACAGCATCAGGCACTGGCTGACACCGTTCCACCACAGCATTGATTTCGCCAACACTCACGCCGTCATAGGTGCCTGTGATGTAGGTCCAGTGGGTGTCTCCGTTGTGGTTGGTCCTGCTCAGCCGGCCGGTGAAAGGGATGTCAGCCTTCATCTTTCTGCCATCCATCCTCACGGTGCAGGAGTGATTGGGTGGGACCAGCAGCTCCACAGAGACAGTGTGACTGATTGACTCCACAATGGTGGTCCCCTTTGAGAAGGTCACCGTCTGCTCCTTGGACAACTCCACATTACCCGGACCAAAGATAGGAACTTTGGCTGTCATGGTGGACACAGAGCCATTGCGGGTCTCCCTGCCGATGTCCCATTTCTTCTCCACTGTACTGGTCTTCTCCAGTGTCACTGTCTTCTCCACATCTCTGCACTCCAGGTTGGTGACCTTAGTGAGCTTCAGGGCTTCTGGAGGATGGTGGAACAGCTCCATCTGGTCAATGGCATACTCTACATGAGAGATGTGCTGGTTGTAGCTGTCTCTGTTGATAGCAAGCACCTGGTAGTTTTTGTACCAGTACTCATCGCCCTCCCAGGGGAGGAAGAAGGCTTCATGTTTGGTCACCACTTTACCAAGACCATACTTATTCTTACCCACATATATGTCTGAGTTGGGACAGGTTTTGATGGCATACTCAGGAACAGAGCCATATGAATCTTCAACCCACTGCAGGAACTCAAAGTGGTCCACGTTAACCAGGATTTCGAACTTGGAGGATGCATACTCTTTGTCAGCGTAGGGGTACTGGCAGAAGTTCCCTTTGCTGGGAGTGTAGAAACCAGCCTCACAGTTGACTTTGCACACATAGTCGGTACGTTCGGTGTAGCCGTTGAAGATGGCAACAGCGCCATTTGGGAGGGAACCGCTCCATGTGACCCACCTAAGGTTGACATGTTCACCAAACATGGGGCTTGAGTGTGAAGTCGTCTCAGTTTCTGAGGTTTCTGCAACTTTAGGAGGGCTGAGAGCTCCCCGGGAAGGAACAACATTTCCCAAGGTGGGGTTAAGCCATGGCTCTGTAAGACAAGATAGAAAGATAGTGGCTGTAGGATTTATTCTAGACAAACAAAAGTTTCAACTCATTTGAAACATTTACTACCAAAACTGTTAAGACATGTTCTTAAAAAATAAAAAAAAAGCAGAATTGAGTTTGAATGAAAGACTGACACTTGCTTTCAACCAAAGTGTTAAGCAGAAAGAAACATTGTTGACATCAGGTAGTTTCATACCTATTTTTTAAGCACCGTGAGGATGAAAGTGTATCCACTAGTGACAGTTATTGGGTTAGGGTCTTAATATAAATTCAGCACCTTCACAATCTTAACACAACCTTACATGAGCGCACCATAACACCATACATGAGGTGATGGAAAAAAGTGTTACAAAGCAATCCCTTAGATTAAACCTGGTTGCTATTTCCTCTGAACCTTTTCCAATTTTTAGTCCCAGCCTGACTAATTGGACTTACATATCTCGGATGCAAGTTGGACACGTTCTACAGAGCCAAAAGACCAATGCGTCATTTGAATATATTTTGGGGGAAACAAAATGAGAAAAAACTAAAATAAAGAAAGCCAAATCTGCCAAGAAGGCTGAGTAGGGTTGGTGTGGCCAGAAAAATCTCCCCTTTTCAGTGCTTTAACCCCCCTTAATGCCCAGTGTGTCATATTTGATACATGAGTTTATTTAAGTTTTAAGACTTTAAATTATCAGTGTAATTTTTCTCCCCTGAAAAACCTAAATAAATTTTAAAACACATTTTTAAGCAATGCATTTTTTAAAAGTTAGAAGTCTTCAAACTGCAGACTTTGCTCTCACGAACACTGATGATCCTTGACATACAGGTTTTATCAGTCTGACACAGAAGTAGATGATTCAGCTGTGTGCAAGTTCGAGTGTTGAAATCACAGGTGCAAGTGATTAGAACTGGAGCTCAGACACTTATTTTTCTAGTGGGAGGAGTCATGTAGTCATTAAAGTAATGTGCTGTGATAAACTGTAGGATTATAATGTGACTGACTGCTGGGTTTTTCTTCCCCATCCTGCTGCTGGAAAACGTAGAGCAGCGGGTCAGACTGTAGCGCCGGGCTGCACAGCTGCAGAAGTGTCAGGAGAACAGCAACACACCACCTCATCTGGACACACAAAGAAACACCGGCAGTAGTATGTCATCATCAGTTGGCAATCAAATTCAAATTCAAATTTTATTTGTCACACACACACAACCATACACAGTATGACATGGGGGTGAAATGCTTGTAGCTGTACAATGCCCGACCATTGTCACTGTGCCCGAACGCTGCAACATGGAAATGTAAATTTCTAAAAGCTAAAAATAAACAACCATTAAAAAACTCATGTGGTCAACACAGTTTTAAATCAATGAAAAAAAAATTGGAAAACTATTAAAAATAGGAGTCAATTTTAATCCAATTAATTTTTTTTCTTATTTTTAATTAAACAGATATAGACGAATACTTACCAGTAATCTGCTTTGGACAAGTCAGAATACATTGAAAGATTTATTATTCATGTCCGAGGCAATCAAAATTATATTACTTGACTTTTCGTTTATTGATATAAATATTTAGTCAGAAAACAGACGTGAGAACTTCATACAATAAGATGCATTTATAAACTTTTACATTTGCATGCATAATATATGCAACACTGATTATTCTGCCTGTGTGTGATGAGCCTTTGACACACACAGCTGACTTAGCTTGTGTACTTTAAAATATATATCTTTAAATAGTGTATTGTTAGAAAAGACTGTTATTTTGTTGTTTATGTAAAGATCACTGGTGTTTATAAATGACTGTACCCATATACACAGCTATGTTGCTACAATTCATCAAATATAAATCCCCAATTACAGTAATCTTTCTCTAAAAATGAAACCAAATGAATGAAAAAAGAACCAGCTCTGAATCTAAATAGTACCAGTATCACATGCCCTTACATACAATGTATAGAAATTACTTTAAGTAAGTGAATGAAATAAAAGAAAGTCACATCTGCATGATGTCACATCAGGATTAGCGTCACATAAATTAGTAATTAAGGTGGTAAATTATAAACTGAGTGTCCCATTACTGTATGTTTATAAGATTACTAAATGAAGATCAGACTTAAGAAATCATTCCCGAATGCCGAGTATAAAACCAAAAAGTAAGAAAGATTTTGACCTGAAATTTGTTGATCTGTTTATTGATTTCACATGACAGATAAGACAGAGATAAAAAACAAAAAAAAAACAGAACCCCTTAAATTCAAGCCCACAGCAGCCGTTCATTCAGATATAGAGAATTTGGTTTTTTGTTGTTTTTTTTTTTACCTTGACAGGTTCCTTCTGCAGTGACTCTTACCTGCAGTAAGTGTGAAGCTTTAAAACCTCCCAGACTTATTGCCCTCAATAAACAGGAGAGATAAAGCTTCTCGTCTGGCTGGCTCACAGTTTGCTCTGTCCTGCTGCTCACTTTGAATCGAAACGTTTTTATTGAAAGATTTGAAGAGAAAATAACTTCTAATCGAACTTCTATGGAGGGAGGAAAACTAATGGAGTTTGTTTGAGTTTCTGCAACATACCGTTACACTCATATGGTGTGTAATCATATTGACAGTTACAGCCAATTGGCAGCTTTAATGTCTTGTTCAAGGACACAGTCTTACAGAGGCTGTGAGTGTCATGAAGTCTTCTGCCCGCTCAGAGGATTTGAAAAAACTAAAATAGGTCAAACATCCAGGGTACGAATGCTTGTTTCTGTTACTTTACAATGCAGATGATGAATTGGTGCAGTTTTGCTATTGAAACTTGAATTGAAAATTGGTTATAAGTAAAATAATTTTGAAAGAAGTAAGAAAGAATTTGGTTTTCCATTGTGATACCCAAGGAGAAAACTAATTTGGTTGCACTGTTTTAACAACTTAAAAATTTTCAGCCCTCAAAATGAATTGTTACTATCTCCTATGAAGTGATGAAATGCTGGAAAAATTGTGTGAACTCACTCGTACCTATGTGCGTACATAGGGACAGGTCAGGTACTTAGATAATGTGGAACATTTTAATAGTATGTGGCGAAACTTTTCAATGACCTTGTTAATGTACTGTACAAAAAAAGAGCTGCTCCTGAGGGGGTTTGTGGACTGATTATTTTTTTTGAAAAACATCAACACACTGAGATATTCCAAACTTCTTCTGCTCACCTTCAAGGCCATTCATAACCTCGCTCCTCCTTACCTTTGTGACCTGTTAACCACTACCTGTTCTGCCCGTTCACTTCGATCTTCTTCTTCTATCCAGCTTGCTGTACCTTCCTTCCGCCTCACCACCATGGGAAGCAGAGCTTTCAGCTGCTCTGCTCCCAGGCTGTGGAACTCTCTGCCCCCAGAAATAAGAAACATTGGTTCTCTCCCACAGTTTAAATCCCAACTCAAAACTCATCTGTTCAAATCTGCATATTCACTGTGAATCCACTGTTTGTTAATTTTATCTTGTGCTTTTGTTTTATTGTTTTTATTTTGCCATTGTTTTACTAAGTGTTTTATCCTATTGTAAAGTGTCCTTGGATGACTTGAAAGGTGCTCATAAATAAAATTTATTATTATTATTATTATTATTATTTGGTGTTTGATGTAGGCTTTTATCACGTCAGTGTACAAAACTCCAACAGATGTATGAGGAGCCTAGCTTACAGCATTGTCTTCCTCATCAAACCCCTCTTGGCCTATAGATGAGGAGCACTTTCATCTGTTGTATTGGTTTTTAGTCACCGTGAGAACCCAAAACATGCCAGCCACAGTTTCCCTTCACTGTGGAAGTCAAGATTTAAGGGTTTTCCTTAAATTTGCAAAGAATTTAGGTCAGCTTAAAGACTCATGAATGGATGGCTGCTGTTGACCTTGACCTGAAAGCCTGCAGCTCACGAGTGTTGGAAACAAAAGTCCTCATGCGCCCGATGATAACAGGACTCCTTATTGATCCTTGCTCTTATTTAATAAGATTGTTAAAAGTGCCTCATAAATAAATTTGCTTGGATTTAGTGTGCCCTATCTACTCGATCACATGATGTCCAAAGTGCTGTGGCCTCTCTCTCGCCGCTGATGAAAAGATCCTGTACGTTCAGATAAGCTCGGACAGAGAACAAGTTGATTAGATCTCCTGTAATAGCGGGTCAGTGATTAAGACGGGCCTTGTTGCGTAATGTCGCTGGCTGCCAAGATTCAGCTGGAGAAGAAGCCGCTCAGCACGGACATTGTTCTCCACACACAGTGCTATCATTGAAAATCGCTGATGTCAGGGCCATCTCTGTGCGTCCTTCAGACAGAAAGTTATTATCAATTTATTTATTTAGGTCTGAATGAGGACTGTGTATCAAACAAGGCTGTGCAAAGGTCATTTGCACTGATTAAACTGCACAGTCACCAGTTTCAGCTGCTTCAGCATCCAGTCTCTGTCTGTAAAGAACATTTATATTATGCTATTCAGATTCAGCCTATATCAGTGAGCGTGCCAAGCAGTTATTCAGTCAGACAGCTGATGATGTTTTTCTGTCTCACCATTTTATTTTCACACAATAGAGGCTAAATGTTCTCAGTGTGATTTACAGTTTCAAATTAAATGATTATTTTATTCATTGTCAAAACTGGACAATGGATTGTGCTACAAAACAAATTAAAAGCGCTTTTTAAAAACTGTTAGCACATCATTTCCAGAAAGTTTTTCTGTAGTTGTCCAACGGCAACAAATTATTTTCTTACCCATGTTTGAAATCAGTTTGTGTCGCTGTCTTGAAAAAATGACTGAACTAATGTCTCTTTTCCGCTTATTCAGTCTTCTACCAAAACACATTTATATCTATGATACTAATGTGAATTGTGAATAAAAGTTTAACCAAGAACTGAATAATATAAAGGGAAAAAAATATATATACCCCAGGGCCTATCACAGAGTTATTATGCCTATAAACCCATACTGATGCTGCCTTGGGTTGCTATGTGAGACCAGATGAAAGCTGTGGGTAAATATTCTCTTCCAAAAAGAGAAATTTGAATGTTTTAGAACTTAGGAAACATTTTAAAAACACAAGTTCTGACAGTGAAAATAAAGATAAACTTTTCAATTGTGTAACTCAACCTGTAGTCTTGGTTCACCTGCTAGAATTACAGCTTTGTAATAATGAGAAGCATGACATCAGAACTGTGTGTCAGAAGTCAAATTATTATTTATGCCTTCTAATGAATCTGAAATAGTACGATGTTTGCTATGCTGTGGGTTAATAGAGGGATATGTCTTTATTCAAAGTAGATCAATTATTGTGCCAATTTACAAACGATATAGCAGAAATAGAAAACCGTGCTTGATACATATCTGGCCTCAATTGCCCAGATACCCTTTTTTTGGCACATTCTGGTGATAGATTTTAATGAGCTAATTTAACAAAATGCAGAAAACAGGAGAAACGTGCCAAATTGCTTTATTTTTGAATAAACTCATACACTTGCGCACATGAAAGATATTTTAAATTTACCAACATGAGTGGTATTTTTTATTGTGACATATCATTTGCTTCCATTATCACAATCACCAGATAAGATCAGAAAAATATGATTTAGTGTGTCTTCTCCCAGGTTTTAGGGGCAAGGCTTGGCATCTATGACAGGTTCACAGCGGTCCACCACTGCCCGGACTTCTCCGATCTGGACTCCGTCGTACGTCCCGGTGATGGTGGTCCACTGGGTTTCTCCGTTGCGGTAGGTTCGGCTGAGGCGAGCCGTGTAGGGGATATCGGCTTTGATCTTGCGTCCCTCCATGCGGACTTTGCAGGTGTGGTTTGGTGGGACTGTGAGCTCCACAGACACGGAGTGGCTGAGCGTCTCGATTACGGTGGTTCCCCTGGAGAACTGCAGCGTCTTCTCAGCACCAAGCTCAATGCCCCCGGAGCCGATGAAGGGGATTTCAGCTGTGATGCTGCCCGTGACACCAAGCATCGTGGCTCGTCCGATGTTCCAGGTAGTCTCCACCTCTGAGGTCTTTGTGATGGTGACTGTCTTCACCACTGTCTGGCACTCATTGTTGGTGATACCAGAGATACGCATGGTCTCAGGAGGATACTGGAAGATGGTGACCTCATCAATGCCGTACTTAACATCAGAGATGTGCTGGGTGTAGGCGTCCCTGTTGATGGCCAGGACCTGGTAGTTCTTATACCAGTACTCATCACCTTCCCAGGGCAGGAAGAAGGCCTCAAACTGAGGAACAACCTTCCCGAGACCGTATTTGTTCTTTCCAACGTAGATGTCAACTCCTGCACACGTCCTCACTGAATGTTGTGGCAGTGAACCGTAGGAGCCTTCCTTCCATTCCAGGAATTCAAAGTTGTCCTTGTTAGCCAGGATCTCAAACTCAGGGGCGTAATACTCACGGTCACCATAGGGGTAGCGGCAGTAAGGTCCCAGGTTAGGGTTATAAAAGCCAGCCTCACACTTGTACTTGCAGACATAGTCAATACGCTCGGTATAGCCGTTGTAGATGGAAACAGCTCCATTGGGCAGAGATCCATCCCAGGTCAGCCACTGCAGGTTGACATTATCGCCAAAGAGGAAGGAGGAAGGCAGATCCTGTTGCTGCTCCAGATCAGCAGGATTTAGAGGACCCAACACCTTTCTGTTACCAGTTGGTTCAGGGACCCGGCCCTCCAGCTCTGGTTTCAGTAAGGACACTATATAAGAGAGACAAAGAAAAGAAAAAATGCCATAAAACAGAAGAGATAAGTGTCAAACACATCAACAACAATTCAGGCAACAAGCTTTAATCTCTTTTTAACCTCTTAACACTTGAATGATCCTGAATTAAGGTTGTTTTTCCTTTCTTTTATTCTAGCTACAAAATATGCAAAATATTCAGAAACTACATTTTTGTGGGGGATCTTTGGATGTTGAACGCAACACACTTCAGGTTTACTTCGGTTCAAGTGTTACTATGGGTGTAACACAAAGCTGTTATCCATATCTCTATACAATATGTCATAAAACGTATGATATGCTTACCTTTTCTGAGTTGTATGCTCTTCTTCACAATGTCCTGCAGACTGGCTGAGGACAGAGCCAGCAGGGCCGAGAGCAACAAGACAGACAGCTTCATCTGAAGGTGAAACACAAAACCTCTAAATTATGAGATCTTTTTACAAACTAAATCTTTAACATCAGAATATATTATTCCACCAATCCAGCTATCCAAATGAAAAATTAGCTCAAATTGGCATAATATTTTACAGTTTCAAATATTATTTCTTTCTTTCAGCTAGTTTCAGTTATTACAATTTTTATCTTTACCAGTGTCAAACACCTTAAACGACAAAGAACTAAATTTACAGCAGTTTATTTTTGACTTTACTCTGAAAGGTTAGAATCCAACATAGTGAACTCCATTTTCACTGAAAACCCCCAAAATATAGAAGAAATAAACATCTGTGCCACCACAATAACGCTTTATATGTAGTTTATCTTCTATGTTACATTTTTGGGTGTATTGGGTCTATTTATTCTACATTTCCCCCCATCCCACCGACCCAAAAGAGACAGTATTTATGACAGTAGTATGCATCAGTGAAACAAAACAAATACAAATTTAAAGCATTATAAATTTATATTATTATAAATATATAAATTAATATCCATCCATCCATTCGCTTCCGCTTATCCTTTTTCAGGGTCGCGGGGGGCGCTGGAGCCTATCCCAGCTGTCATAGGGCGAAAGGCGGGGTACACCCTGGACAGGTCGCCAGTCTGTCGCAGGGCTAACACATAGGGACAGACAACCATTCACACTCACATTCACACCTAGTGACAATTTAGATTAATCAATTAACCTATCCCCACAAGCTGCATGCAATATATATTATCATATTATTATTTCCATTATAGGTCAGGTGGAAGTTATAAACACACATATAGCGTATAAAATAACTTTACATTTGATGACTTATTGCCTTAAAATGGTAATATTAAAGCATTTCTTAAAACCACACTATATATTAAAATAGTAGAGTTCCTCTTGCCACATCTGATTAGGTTTTCATTTTAAACACATTTATAAAATAAAAAGAAATATCCCACTTCATAAGGAAATTAACATCTGAATATGTCAGATTATTGTCATTTGAAATTTGAGCATGAATGTGCTGATCAGCACTCACCCTTACTGTTGCTCTCCGGTGAGTCCACCTCGGGACACCTCCAGGTTTATATAGCTGCTTTATGGCTGAATCATAAAGCAGACTGTGCACTTTCACTGTGTCTGGATATTACTGGTTTTGTGGGGATTGTTGTCAGATTAAGATAAACTTCCTTTTCACGAATGTGTGACTTCTTCATCCAAGTAACCAGGACAAAAAGAGAACATAATTATTAATTTACACATTAATATACATAACACATAAGATGTGTTTTCATAGTCGACAATGTCGTAGAGGTGTTCTTTTGCATTTAAGTCACCATAAATGATTCAAATGAAACAAAAGCGTGAGGATTTTTCCTTATTAGACTTCTTTGTGCCTCTTCTCTGACACCTGTCCAATCAATTCACCAGATATTTCTCCAGGAAATAGCATCACCATTCCTAAATTACTTAAACCTTAGTAAACATACATCAGGTGAGCGTGGGAGCCAGTCAATTGTTTTAGCACCTTGATCCTTCAGGAACTGCCTGCATCCTTGCCACATTTGCATTGACGTGCACCAGGAGGAACCTGAGACCTGCTGCACCAGCATAGGGTCTAACAGCTGGTTTACACCTCATTTATTTAACATCAAGAGTGCTTAATGGCCAAGCATAAAACAAACTGTTAAAATAATTATTTAGGAATTTGTCTTCGACTTCCTACTAACTTTATTTCTGTACGACCATATTAAGTATATTTTATTCCAACAGTGCTGCAGGAAAGAAAAATCTGTAAAGGCAGAGAGTTGGCACTATTCCCTCAGCATTTTCACAAATCACACCAAAGGTGAAGTATTGATATCAAGCAGTAAACCAAAATATGTGTTCCATCACAGAAATATAACAGCAAAATATTTTCAGGGAACTCCCTCACATCCTATTTTTATCCCACTGGCCTCCTTACAAGGCAGTGGAAAGGAAAAGTAAGTACACACATACTTAATCACAAGGAAGTCACAGGGCAGTTGAAGCAAGCGAAAGCCGACCGAAGATGGAAGGTGAGCACTGCTTGTTTGCCAATTTTAACAAAAGCTACACATTTTTAAAAAAGGTTGTAAACGTAAAAATTTTTGTTAAACATATTTTTAGCTCCTCTTTCAAAGGGAATTCCCCATCTTGAGACAGTTCAGACTCTTGACTCAGTGTCTTCAAAGCTTTGCTGTTCAGAGCTTTTATTGATTTTATACACTCCTGATTACATGATTTTTCCCCTGTTTTCATATCCCACATAAATTTCCCAGTGTTGTTGCTGCTAATTCTGTCTTCAGCCAGTTCTCATGACATTGAGAACACTACACAGCAGAAAGACGGTAAGCACAAACTGTCAGCAGAAATTTGGTAAATTATATGCTTATAATCAAATGTCTGACAGCAAAGGTTAATAACTTAATTTCATACTGTTTCAAACAGGTTTAAAAGTAATAGGTATAGTGCCAAACAGACATAGAGCACAACGCCCAAGCAGTATATACTTGTATTATAAAACACAGAAGCAGAACATAAATATGATCCTCCCCTTTATTTGGAGCTGGGCCCAGCTCTTAGGTAACATCTGGAATGGAAATCCCCCTCCAAGAAAAGAGCAGAAAAACAACCCCTCCCTCCCTCCCTTCCTTCTTAGTGAGTTAGGTTCCCAACACATGTTGTCACAATCACATTTTAGGAAAAAAGTAGAAGTAAAATATTAAGGAAATATTATAATATTTCCTTAATAGTATAATAAGGAAATACACGGAAGTAAAATGATAATATATCATATTTATGTATTTTTTTTCCTATTGATGCTGTATAATGATGCTATTATACGTTGTATTTCGATAGCACCTGGTCATCAAGCAAAATGATGCAAATGAAAGCAATTAATAAAAATCTCAAAAATCTTTATACTGCTACTTTTACTCTGGTGGTTAATGATTTTTTCATCATTTTACTTTTTGTGTGCCTGCATTTTAAAATTTCATGCATGTCCTTTTCCTTTTTATCCACTTTTATCCACATGAACAGATTCCAGTGGCATCCCTCCAACTGCAGTGAACAGACTGATGCAAACAAATCTGCCACTTCTAAGTGTTCATAACTTTAGACAGAAGAGGCAAGTTCAGTCTTCCTCCGTTGTCCCTATGAATGGCACTAACCTGATGTGGGTGACCTGGAACAACTCTCTTCCTAATCATACCGTCTCACTTTACAATGGCTATACTAATCGAGTTGATTATATTTGTAAGTACAAGTGTGACGCTGGCTTTTATACGCCCGGAAAGGGTCGATATTGCTACTATCCTAGTGTGATAGAAAAGAGAGGTTTTCCATTTGAAATATTGGTTAACAAAGACAACTTTGAGATCCTGGAGTGGAAGGCTGGTTCGTATGGTTCAGTACCGAAGAATTCAGTGTGGACCTGCTCAGGGAAGCAAATATATGTGGGCAAGAACCATTATGGACTGGGGAAGGTGTCCACTCAAGATAAGGCTTTCTACTTGCCTTTTAACAAAAGAGAACATTGGTACAACAACTATGAGGTCCTGACCATCAGTGAAAATGTAATCAGCCAGACGATTTACAATGTCAGATACAACAAGGATCATTCTGAAATCTTCAAATTTCTTCCTGAGGTCATGCATGAAGCAACCATCAGCAACTATGAATGTCACCCAGTAGTGAAAACAGAGTCACTCTCAAAGACATATGAGGTGCAGCAGAGGTGGGACTTCACCTTTTCTATCAAGTTCGGGGCTAAAATAAGCATTGAGGCTGGCATCCCATCCATTGTTAAAGGAACTCTTGAAATCAGCACAGAGGTGCAGTTTCAGTTTACGAAGGGAACCACTGTGACAGAGAGTATGACTGACACTGCCTCTGTGGTGCTTACCGTGCCACCAAACCACTCCTGTAAATTTTCCATTGTTCGGCACAAAGAAAAAGTTGATATCCCATTCACAGCACTCCTCAGGCGTACTTACGGTAATGGAGAGATCCACACAACGTCAATCACTGGGACATATGACAGCATTCAGATTGGAAAAATCCAGACTGTGGTCGATCGATGTGAACTTCTAGTAGAATTCAAGCCTTGTCCAGTCCAATCCAAATCCAGTATGATGTCTGATAATGTACACCTTGTTTTTCTTCTCTTTACATCATTTTCCTGTTCATACTGGATTTGAATCAGTTTGCGGTGACCTCTGCTGTTGTCAGTTGGCATTGAATTAGACTGAAATCAATTTTGAGACGTACTATTATGAAATAAATACAGCAATTAATTTTTTTTACCAAAAGATTCGATTTAATTTACATTTTACCAACTTTTATGCAAACCTTTCTAATGACTGTAAACACCTATGAGCTATATCATTCCTTCATGTTGGCTTCACTTTTTAGACCTGGAAATGACAATATTGTTTTACCATTTATTGTATGTTTATGACAGGAAACACACTCTTGATATTACCTAGCAGATGTTGGCAGTGTAGTTGATGTACAAGTGTGTATAAGAAGTAGCTGGTTGTAGTTAAAGGCCAGTATAGCAGTTGCTGCTAGAAATTCTCTGGTGCTGCTGATTTCAAGCCTGAAACCAAAATGACAGAAACCATAAGGCAGATCATGGTGCTGTGTACCTAAGATTTATAGAAAAATATTTTACTGCCGCTAAAAACCCTAAAAGAGTAATAATAATAGAACAACTGAAATGCAAAATTTGTTTAAAAAAAAGAAGAAGAAAAGAACACCCATTTGAAAATTTTAAGGTTTTACATAACTGGTCCTTAGCTTAGTAACAGCAAAGGGAGATATTTTATTCAACCCAACATGATACCAGAAAAGTGTTTAAAAAGACATTAATAACAGAATTGGTTGTATATCCATATTAGTCCCCTAGCCTAATGATTCTGAAGATTAAGGACCCTAGAAAGTACTTAATACGTTTTTTTGTTCACTACCGACTTGGTGACTTTACCTAAATCTTAACCCGCTGGTAATGCAATTTCTGCATGTATGTCCATTTCACATTTTGGAGAGGCAAAGCGTGAAATGGACACAGTGGATCAGCATGTCTATTACATGTTTTGACGTAATACTGGGGTGACTCATAACATATTTCCAGTGTTGGGTTTGCTGCCTAATTTCGCTGTACATGTACAATGACAAAAAAAGGGCTATTCTATTTTGTTCTATTCTATTCTAACTAATCAATGTAATCATAAATTCAGTAATCACATTACAGTTACAATTATGTCGTTAATTGCATTACAAAGAACTGTATTATACTGCTAACACAACTTGGGCTCTTTGCCAATATCTGTACAGACCAAAGGCTATTGCAAAGCTAGCAAAGAACCCAGAATGATGTTAAAGCCAAGTGAATGCTGATCCCAGCCCAGAGGCCAGAACCTGAACTTCATTATGTAAGAAAGGCAGTGTGATGAGAAGTCAGGGAAGTATCATTGAGGCCTCCATTTCTGCCTATACATGTTTCCTCAGTAGAACCGCTGTGGCAATTTCTTGAAAGTCTATTTGGGCTGATTTCCAACCTTTGCTTTGTGTTGTCGGTTTTGTGTTTATATATAAAACCTAAAAGACAGATTGCACGAATAAGGTCATGCGTAAATCAACCATCAGCAACCATGAATGCCACCCTGAAAGCAATTCCCTTTCAAAGACCTATCAGGTGGAGCACGGGTAGAACGTTGACTTTTCTATCATGATTAGTAGAGCAACCATTAAAACTGGCATCTCCTTTATTTCTGATGGATGAATTGAGTTTGGCACTGAGGGCATCACCTCAGGGACAAACTCAATTCACTTCAACATCAGTGATCCTGTCTCTGTGGAGCTCACTGCCTTGCCAAACCACTCCTGTAACATGGTTCTGTACAAATAAAAAACCAACATTCAGTTTACAGCACTCTTTAGAGGTATCTACGAAAATTGGAGATGTACACAAAACATCCATCATTGGGATGCATAACAGTGTTCAGGTTGAAAAAGTCAGGGCTGCAGTGAATCAGTGTAATATCCTAGATGCATCTAAACCTTGTCCATGACATGTAAAAGAGTATGACGTCTAACTGTTAGGTGTGGCTGTGTGCAGTCAGGAATAGGACCCAAGGTGCAGACTCCGGAGACAGAACTTAAACAAAAACAGCTTTAATGCTGAACGCAAACATGACATAACTGGAAAAAACTCAAAATAAACTTACACCGGTGGACAGGCAAAACACACAGCAAAATAAACGGTAGATCGCGACACAGACACTAAGAAACACAGGGCTTAAATACACAGAGGGAGCAATCAGGGAATGGGTAACAGGAGGGAAACACAGCTGGGGCAAATCAGGCCTAACGAGACAAGAGGAAGCAAAACCAGACACATTAACATCAGACATGGACTTTCAAAGTAAAACAGGAAACACATAACACAGACTGAACAAAGACACAGGCTCATAAGCAGGCACTACAAAGGGAACAGAGACGTGGGAACAGGGCAGACACAAACACTGACTGAACACGGGGATATAGGAACTTAAGATACACATAGACGCGAACTAGACAAGGGGATGCAGGTGATAGGGGAGACAGAGCAACTAAAGAAGACAGAGACCTAAGCCATAAGACAGAACTCAAAGAAACCAAAAACTAGACAGTATAAATAATATCATAAACTCAAAAACCCTGGGTCGACGACCCAGGCATCCTAACAGTACCCCCCCCTTAAGGGCTGGCTTCCAGACAGCCCAAACCAAAACATCAAAACAAAAAAACAAAAACAACCCAACCAGGGTGGGCGGCGGGGGAAACAGGATGGAGGGCTCGAAACAAAACAAGGAGCCAGAAACAACAAAACAAAAAAAAAGTGCAAACACTGGAGCCCGGAAAGCAACAGAACAAAACACAGAAACAAAGTCCAAAACAACAGCACCAAGGCCCAGGCAAAGTCCAAAAGCAAACAAACAAAAGAGCTCACGAAAGGCGCAGAGGCCCAGGCAATAGTCTCAAAAAAGTTCAGGGGGGCCGGCCCGGAGGCTGATGGTCCAAGAGCCCAGAAAACAGTTCAGGAGGCCGGCCAGGCAGAAGGCACCGGTGGCGACGGAGCAGATCAGGAGGCCGGCCGGGCGGGAGGCAGCGACGGCGACCGAGCAGGTCAGGAGGCCGGCCGGGCGGGAGGCACTGGTGGCGGAGTAGTTCAGGGGGCCGTCCATGACGGCGGCGTAGTTCAGAGGGCTGTCCATGACGGCAACGACGTCCAGTCATCGGCCGGACAGGACGTGCAGGACGAGCAGGCCGGACAGGACGTGCAGGCCGGACAGGACGTGCAGGACGAGCAGGATAAGCGGGACGAGCAGGACGTGCAGGCCGGGCAGGACGTGCAGGCCGGGCGGGACGTGCAGGACGAGCAGGCCGGACGGGACGAGCAGGCCGGACGGGACGTGCAGGAACAGACAGCATGGAGACCTCAGGAGCAGACGAAGCTGAACACTCGGAGACTGGACCAGGCTGAGGCGAAGCAGGAACAGAGGCTGAGGCTGGGGCCGGACCAGGCGGAGCTGCAGAGGCTGGGGCCGGACCAGGCGGAGCTGCAGACTCGGAGGCCGGACCAGGCGGAGCTGCAGACTCGGAGGCCGGACCAGGCGGAACTGCAGAAGCTGAGGCCGAAGCCGGACCAGGCGAAGCACAGGCAGAAGCTGGACCAGGCGTAGCCGAGGCAGAGGCTAATGGCGGCTGGACGGGCTCCTCGGGCCCTCCAGCTGACCGGAGGCATGAGGCTGAACGGGCTCCTCGGGCCCTCCAGCTGACGGGCGAGGCTGAACGGGCTCCTCGGGCCCTCCAGCTGACGGGGCGTGAGGCTGAACGGGCTCCTCGGGCCCTCCAGCTGACTCGGAGGCGTGAGGCTGAAGGGCCGGGCTCCTCGGGCCCTCCAGCTGACTCGGAGGCGTGAGGCTGAACGGGCTCCTCGGGCCCTCCAGCTGACTCGGAGGCGTGAGGCTGAACGGGCTCCTCGGGCCCTCCAGCTGACGTGGCGTGAGACTGAACGGGCTCCTCGGACCCTCCAGCGGAGACAGGTGGCTGAAGCGGTTCCTCGGACCCTCCAGCGGAGACGGGTGGCTGAAGCGGTTCCTCGGACCCTCCAGCGGAGACAGGTGGCTGAAGCGGTTCCTCGGACCCTCCAGCAGGAAGAGACGCCTGAAGCAGTTCTCCAGAACCCCGAGCAGGAACAACAGGTGGCTGAACGGGCCCCTCGGAGCCTCCAGCAGAGACAGGGTTGCACTTTTTCCTAAAATTAAGCTTCTGTTCTTTTACAATTTAAATCAGCTTAGTATAGCTACTTCAGACGATTCTGATCAAGTAGAATATAACTCAATATACGTTTATATTTAGCACCTCAAACATGTTGTACAGTACATGATTTAATAAATGTTTTTATCTTTACACCTGTGTTTGTTTTTTACCTACCTTCACTATGATGTTCAGATTTTTTTTTTTTACATTTATGTTCATTAACATGCACTGTCCTAAATAAATAAATAAACAGAACACTGCTGTGTTAGGGTACCTGGGTCTGGTGACCCATTGTTTATGTTTGTATTATCAATATTCTTTGATGTAGTCTCTCTAATGGTATAGTCCTTTGTATTTCTATCTCCCAAAGTTAGCTTTAGTATTTCCTGATTTCTAGGTCTTAGGTTTTGTTCCTGTGCCTCCCCTGTAGGGTTGCCAACCGTCCCTTAAAATACGGAATCGTCCCGTATTTAGAAACAAAAGTACACGTCCCGTATTGAGCTAATGAGGGACGCACTTTGTCCCGTAATACAGTGAGAATCAAAAGTAGTCTATAACTTTTAATGGAATTAACGCTTTGTT